GCTAGAGTCAGAGATCCACGCACTGGCACACCCAGGAAGCCCAGAAAAACACTAGAGTGGAAGCAGTCATTTAAGTGCAGAGGGCCTGGTGCAGACCGGTGCAGGCTCGGCGCAGGCTGCCTCAGTCTCTGCGAGTTCGTATGAGCTTTGATCATGCTGATTTATGCCTTGTTTTCTTGGTGTCCCCTATCCCCTTTGGTTCTTATACTCTTTCTACCTACTCTTCTGTGGGGCTCCCTGAGCCCTGGGGGTAGATTTGATGGAGGCATCCCATTTAGGATGGAGTGTTTTAAGTTCTCTCACTCTGCATGTCTGGATGTGGGTGTCTGTATTTGCTCCCATCTGCTGTAGAAGAAACGTCTTTGATGGTGGCTCAGCAAGTCATTGATCTATGTGTGACCTATGACTATAGTAGAAGGTAATTAGGAGTCATTTTGTCTCTTGCTTGTTTTTTATTGGAACAGTAGTATTTGGGTTTACCCTAGGTCCCTGGGCTATCCGGTCTCGGGTTCTTGGTCACCCAAGCACTGTTGGGTATGAATTTCGTCTCTATTTTTTAATTATGTGTGTATATATGTATGTGCACATGATTGAAGGTGCCCTCAGAAGAGGGTGTTGAATGTCTTTGAGCTAGAGTTGCTGGTGGTTGTGAGTGGCCCGAGATGGGTGCTGAAAACTGAGCTCAGATCCTCCGGGAAAACAGAAAACACTAATAACATCTGAACCATCCCTCCAGCCCCTAGTGACAGCTTTGAAAACTGCCCAAGTGTATCTAACATTTAATCTGAACTGATAAATAGTTAAGTTAGCAGGAGTGGGAGTTTTAGAAATCCAATTTTAAAAAAGGACCAACATGTATACCATGATCTATTTATGGAGCAAAGGTGCTAATACTCTCAGGGTTAGGTGCTTAGGTATAGAGACCGCCATGACCGTGGAGGTGGAGATGACTTGGGCTTCAACACTTTTGCCAATTCTTAAGGAGAATGAGCTCCTAAAATACCAACAAGAAATGACAGAGCCTTCACTTTTGGTGATAATCTTCAGGTCTCTAATTCCCAATAGCTTCCAAAAAAAAAAAAATGAGCACCACACATTAGTGGGTCCAAAATATACAGATCTGTGGGTTATGATTACTGTTAGTTTAGTTTTACTGAAAGTGCTCTATGTTTTGATATGAAAAAAATCAAAGGGTGAAATTTTCTTCATTATAACTGATGTGATTTCCATTCAGAATACAGAGAATGGGGCCTTAAAGAAAGGAACCAACGAACCAAGAAAGAGAATTATATAATAGAAGCAACAGACTTTTTTAAAGATTGTATTTTATTTTTAATTGTGTGTATGTCCCTGTGTGGCTGTCTGTACATGAGTGCAGGTGCCTTCAGAGGCCAGCATAGAGCTTGGAATCCCCTGGAGCTGGAGTTACAGGTGTGTGAGCCTCCAGATGTGGGTACTGGGAACCTCTGCAAGAACAGCGCATGCTCTTCACTGCTGAGCCATCTTTCCATGCCCAGAAAGCACTTAATTATTTGTTTGCTTGCTTGCTTTTAAAAAGTCAGCTGGACCCACCTAGCTGGAAGAATATGAATGTTGCTTTGCTTATTTTTGTTTAAATTTTATTTTATTTAAAGACAGTATGTAGACTTTATCATTAGCAATTGGGTGATCACACATACAAGCATACAGATTATTTGTTTAATTGGTTGGGCATGGTCTTCGACAGCCTAGTATATGGTGTATATCGATCTTTCTGTCATATTTGCACTTTTGCTTAATTCAATAATTAGCTTAGCATGTTTAAAACATGGTGGAGAATAGCTATTTTCCTCTGGCCCCACGTTTTCCCATTGCTGCATTGCAGGGGTCCAGTCACTGCTTCCTGCAGATTACATGTCAAGCTGTGGTCCGCCTTGAGGCGTTTGAACCTGTCAATCTTTCAATCTTTCCCCTCCTTAGGCTAGTTCCCACATGTCTTCTTGGCTCTCGGGTCAGAGGCAAACTCCACAGATCTGCTTTCTCTGCTACACAGCCTCGGTAGCACACTGCTGTTTCTAGTTCTCCGCAGCCCATATCCTCTAATGATCTTGCTTACTGATTGCTTTGCTTGTCTGTCCTCACACTTCCTCGACCAGCATGTGGCCTTCAAGAAGACAGGTGTTTTGTCTGTCAAGTTCACAGTCGAATTCCTAACTGGACACTTCCTGGCATGTGGCGTGCACCTCCGTATCATTTGCTGGGTAAACAAATGAAAGCAAATACGCCTGCCATACTCAACGGAGGATTTGGCTGCCAAGTCTTGTCTCCATTCCCATCCTCCACACCCAATCTCACTGTAATTTTGCAGCTCTAGCTCCTTGCCAAATAAACAAATAACGGCAACATAGTCCTCTAAGTTTTGCAATTTATTTCTAAACTCTCTGCTTCTATCTGCTTTCTTACATAGATGTCTGTTGTGATGGCATCTCAAATCTAGATACTATTTCATCAGGGAACTCATACACAATCACCTTAGAATTTAACTATTGAAAATAATAAAGCCTGAAATATGATTGAGTTGATTCACAACTTGCTTATCATGCACAAGACATTGGCTTCCATCCCCAGTTCCACATAAATGTGACATGCTACTACACACCTGCAATCCCATCACTCAGGAAGTAGAGGCAGGAGGATCAGAAGTGCAATGTTATCCTTGGCTACATATTTTTGAATCTTGGTCCCAACTTTCTTTATCTCCTTCCCCATAGTTTCAGTTAACATTCTTTCCTTCTCTGAACTGCCATGCTAATTAACCCAACACCTCAGCTGTTGATTACCCGCTGTAATGGCAACATGGAATGTCATGTTAGCACTTGAAAGACTGCTTATAATCTTCTAGTCTTATCTTGTTATCTAGGAAAAAACAGTCCTGAACATACCACGTGATGGAATTGAAACCAGCCTCAACATTCACTGATACTGAGTCTAGAAATCTGCCGTCCTTCAATGTATAGTACTCTTATGGCCCCTAGCAGATTGCAAGGTCCTCGTTACCAGGAGTTGAAAATGAACATAAAAAGCATAACAACAGCTTCCATTTACTTATCCTTTAGCCCAAAGTATGTTTAACTTGGAAACGAAAGCCACAAAAAGCCACATGAGTAAATTTCACGACAATGGAGTGGTAAGCACTTAGTCCTGAAGACATCTCCAAATGAGTTCTGATCATCTCTATTCAAATACAAAGCAATGATTTTCACACATGAGTATGAAATGTGGAGATCTCTATCCCACAGGAAAGAGGATTCAGGTGCTCAAAGGCTTGGAAGAAGGGAGGGGGAGCAGAAGAGGTTGGAGAACAAATTATAAAAATCACTGTCAAACAGATGAATAAGTCCTTTGTACAGTAGATTATTATTGTTAATTATTTTCTGTTTATTTTAATATAACTATAAAAGAAGGGTTAGAATGTTCTTATCCAAAAGAGATTATAAGTATGCATGATGACAAGTTAATTGCCCTTATTTGATCACCACACATTGGACACAAATTAGCACAACACTGTATCCCATTCATGGGTACAATTATGCCATTTAGAATATTCACATTCTATTATATAATATTAAAATATTACTTTTGAAGATTATTTATTTTTAACTTTGTTGTATTGCGTATATGATTCTGTAAATTTATGCGAGCCATGTGTACACAGTGCCCACAAAACCAGAAGAGGGCATCAGATCCCTGGGAACTCGATTATAAGTGGTTATAACTTAGGTGTGGGGAAGTGAACCTGTGCCTCTGTAGATCCATCATTGCTCTTAACTGAAGAGCCATCTATCTCCAACCCCAGTTAAGATATTTAAAAGGTATAAGATATAATTTGATAATGAGCTTATTTGGATTATCTAACTTTATGAAATTATTTTTAAAAATTTTCTCCAGTCACTTACAACTTTGTAAGAATACTTTTTCTTGGTGTCTACATTTCCACGGTTTCCCTTTCAGTGAAAGAAAACTTGAAAATCATCTTATCATATACTTAACATTTCTTCTAAATTTGAATTAAATACTGGTCCTAGATTTGAGTGTTTCTTAAGGAGAAGAAAAATCAGTATTATAAATCATAGATTCATGGTTAGAGCATCCTAATTTCATCTACTTGTCTCCCATCCAAGTACTAATCATGTTGGACTTTGCTTAACTTCTAAGATAGACAAGATGGAACATGTTCAGAGTGTCAGGGCCACAAGTTTCTCAGTAGCTCAGGTGATGCTTGCACAGCTCCAAATTAGCAAAAATGTCCAAGGACAGAAATTTTGCCCAAAGATCAGACTATTACACATGTTCAGGCCTGTTCAGGAAAGGTATGGCTATTGGACAGTCCAGAGCACCCAGCTTTGTCACCAACATTATAACAAATCCAGGACATTGATTTCGTCTTGCTTCACATTTCCTGGTCTATGGATTATAAAATGTTTCCATTCCCACCAACCCATGAATCTACAGATTCACTGTTCTCCATCCAGTAGTTAAGCAAGTATTATTATTCTAGACATGAGTGTGGTTCTCAAGTGGTTAGCCCTGAGCTAATCTTCTAAGTCATAAAAAGAGGTTTAAGCTGGTCTCAATAATTTCAGAAGTCACTTTGAACTAGTTCATCTATGCCATGCCAGTGAGGAGGTTCCCGTATACAGATATTTTTTAAGTGTGTGTGTGTGTATGCATTCATATGAGTATAATGCCTACAGAGGCCATTAGATGTCATATGATCTCCTGGAACTGTAGTTACATGTTTTGTCTTCCATTTGATGTGTGTTCTGAGAACCAAATTTGGGTCCTTTACAAGAGTAGCAAACAGTCTTAGACAACGAGCCACCTCTCCAGCCCATAAGATCAGGTCTTTATTCAAGATAAATGAAAACAAATGTCCACATAAAGGTGTACACATAGCGGTTACAGAACTAGAAATGAATCTGTCTCTTGTTCAGTAATGCAAAATGACCTATATTTTCTAGGGATGCTACATGACTTTTTGATACAAGGATTTATGAACACAATACTGTTGGATGCCATGGGAGTTGCAGCAGATGAGGCAGGTGACAACTAAAGTTCAGATGTCAACCCACCAGAGGACTGATTCTCTGATGGAGAAGAATCCCATCCAGGTAAGGCCTATGAGACCACTGCTCTGGAAAACTGTTGCTCCTGTCTGATTTCGCATGTGCAAAAGCAGCTATGGTGTCTCCCCAATACCTGCAATGTAGTCTGTAATCTCATGTGATGTATATATGTAAATTAATGATTGCATCTCACTCTTATGGGCACACATATCCATAGACGGTCAGAAAGATGACTTCTCATTAAGCTGTATAATTTTGATATATAGAAAATATACTAGGATATGCTTCATGACTAGATCTATTGTCCCACAAAGTCTGTAAGACACTTCAAAGCCTGCTTTATATTTTTTTACTCAAACTACATGCAATTAGCTCATTTTTACCTTGAGCAAGTTCAAACTAGACTGAATGTGTCTGTAAATGGATCATAAGCTAAAAACTTTACAGATATGCAGAAGGTCAGACTTGCAGATGTCTGACCAAGGTGCTGAACACACACCAACCTAAAAATCATGGCAGTTCTTCACTTGCCAAGTCTGGCTGATAAAATCTTGTACCTTACAACTTGTCTCACCAGGCACTGTGCCTCCACCTCTGAACACAGTCTTACAGCGGAAACCTTGAAACCTTGCAACCTTGCATTGCCATGGTAAATGGCTCTGTCCTTATCATTTGCCCAAGAAATGTGCTATGACCAATGGGATGCAACTCTTGCAATTTTTTTTTCTTGCCTCAAACCTGTAAAAGCCTGTAAAACCTTGCCTTAAGCTAGGTGACTAAGAAAGCAAAGGAGAATTGGAACTAGAGAGAATTGGAACTAGAGACAATTGGAACAAAGGAGAACTAGAAAGAAGTAGAAGAAAATTAGCAGACAGTCTGAACTACTGCATAGGCCACACTTTGTACTTTCTTCTATGTTTGACATGCACCCGACTCTTTACTTTTGAAAATATTTGTTCTATGGTAAATGCTTAAATGTGTGGTTCTATACTGTCTTTCTTCCTTCTGAATTAGCCTAAATGTTGTTTTGTTTTAACCAGAAAAGCTCTAGACCAAAGTGAAAAGATAACATTTTGTTATCACTTATATAGACTCTCAATGATTTATGCAAAATTGATTATATATAATATATACATATATTAAATATAACTAATTCAGATATTTTAATTTTACTAAAGCAATGTAGGCTAGAGAGATGGCTCATCAGTTAAGAGCACTGATTGCTCTTTCAGAGGACCCAGGTTCAATTTATGGTACCCACATGACAGCTCACAAACATCTACAATTCCAGTATTGGGGATCCAATGTCCTCTCCTGATCTCCAAGGGCCCTGAAAAAACATGATACACAAATACATGTGCAGTCAAAACACCCATACTCATAAAAAGAGCAACACGAATCTTTAAAAGCAAAGCATCAAATTAATGATTATATATCTCATATTTTAGGACTGAAGGGATTACATAGTTGATAAAACAATTCTTTTGCAAACATGAAACTAGAATTCAATTCACAGAAGTCATGAGGGAGAGCCCGTCTGAAAAAAAATATTATAAAGCTATGTAAAACATGAGAGACAACATGTGAGATTATCCTTTCATGTCAACATGTACATATACATAATATATTAAGAGTCTGCCCATACATGTGCACATCTGCACACACACATACACAAATGCACATACATGGGCATAAAATTATTTTATATTTTAAACTCTGCCAGTTACCTAACATACCTGTATTTGCATGTTTGAGAAATAAGAATTAGTATAGCCAGACTTACTAGAAATCACCCATTGATTCTTTAATAAAATATTCTACTAAAATGTATCTTTTGTTTATCTTACAGTGTTCAGTAGCCTCTACTGATGATGAAATTGTAAGCCACCTCTATTTTCTACTCACACTAATACTTCAATGGTTAATATTTTTGCCTGATTTAAGATCCTGGTTATTGACAATGAAGATAATCCACAAAACCTGTCTCATAGAGAGAACTGTTCCAAGAAGATGATTACTGTATTATTTTTTGTTATTTATTGCATATTTCAAACTTTAAATGAGTTGTACACAAGAAGTAGTTCAAAAATATTGTTTATGTTCAAATATTCTCACTTATGCCATTAGTAAACGGAAATAAATCAATCCTTTGCAGTATAACAAAGAGAAAGTCTAGGGTGTGCATGACATTAAATCCTAGTCTGGTACAGCCATGCACCAGGCCATAGCTAAGACGCTGTCACCTTTAGGAGGATGGCTTTGAAATGAACACCTTCCTTGTTATCATTTTGTCACCCAGAGGCCAGACCCTCCGCTGGAATCTATTCTCGAATGATCAGTCCCAAAATAAGAGAAAAATATGCAAAACTAAAAGCACGGATGTTCTTCTTTCTTTTCCTCCCAAATCAGGAGATACTCCACTTTGCTTTGATTTGAGCTTGACATTTGCTGTGGATGGATTTTTGATATGTCCCAATTTTCTCCAGGGCAAGCCCATCACCATGCAATGCCAGATTTAACTTCCAGACATCTCCAGGAAACTCATCACAGCCCTCGACCTACAGTAGCTAGTTCCTCTTGCTGCCTGCTGGATCTAGAATGATTTCCATACACTGAAGGCTAATTACCTCTCATGGTAGATTCTCACCATGTGATCCACTCATACTTCTGGCCAGGCTGCCCTAGAGGCAAAGGGTACGTGTGTGTGTGTGTGTGTGTGTGTGTGTGTGTGTGTGTGTGTGTATTTATGTCTGTATTATTACATATATATTATATCCATTTAATATATAGTTTAAAATCAGGCTCTATGTTCTGCAAATCCTGTCTAATTTTAAGGTCATTCCCATACTCAACACCATCTGGGCAGAACAATTTATGGCGATGTTTTTATTTATGTTTTAATAAAGCTTGCCTAAAGATTAGGAGGGCAAAAGTAAACCACCAGAGGTCAGGCAGTGGTGGCACACACCTTTAATCCCAGGATTTGGAAGACAGAGGCAGATGTATCTCTATGAGTCCTAGGCCATCCTAGGCTATACAAAATCAATGCAGAAACAAATCCCGCTGATAGTGCTTTACACCTTTAATTGCAGTACTAGGGAGTCATACACCTTTAATCCCACCACTAGAGGGAATATAAAATGAGAGAAGAGAGAGGTTATATCTGCTTAGTCTGCTTGGTCTACAGTCATCCAGCCTTGGTAGAGATAAGACTTCTCTAGTTGCTTGACGGCTTTGCTTTTCTGGTTTTCATGTTGAGACCCAATATCTGCCTCAGGGTGTTTATTATTCATGCTACATTTGGCGTCCAACATTTGGAGTACAAATTCCTGAAAAAAGCGATTTTCCTGAGACTTTTTAGCCACCAACACAGACTGGAGATACATGTGAGGCTCCAGCACACCTGGCTATGTTTTTTTTAATCTCTCTCTCTCTCTCTCTCTCTCTCTCTCTCTCTCACCCCCCTTCTCTCTACTACAGATTGCAGGTCCTCCCTGAACCTCATTCTTGGACTGCTGCCAAACTAGGTAGCTGCCTTGAAATCCAGACAGGCTCTTACTGTTCTACATAGTAGCAATCAACCTTACATCTTCATCAACATCATTGGTAGATTCTGTAAAAACAATTGGGGATTCTGAAAGAGAAAAATTCGTTAAAAGAGAGTGCTTTTTCCACATTAAAAAAAATGAGAAAAACCATTATAATGGAGGGATTTGGGTCTCTGTATGGTGATATGCTAGATAGTTTGAAAATGGAACTATTAAATGAGGGATTTATGTGTTGTCAATTGTAAACATATCATCATTATGATTTTGTCTTATTACTAATATAGTTGATTAATCTGAGTGCTAAGATACAGGCCCTGGAAAATCTAATAAAACAAACCACAGAGAGATTCAAATTCAGACAGAAGAATTTAATGGAGAACCAATTTCAGTATGGCATTATAAGAATACAGAGGAACAATCAAAATTTTTCAGACAAGCAACCTTAATATGTCCAGTAGCCTTACAGGAATTGCCCAATGGCAAAGGCTGTGTTAAAACTAAGTGGACTCCTGTGCCATTGTTAGATTCAATAGTCTCATATGGCATACATTCACCTTTTGGTAAGCAAATGTTAAATTCATGGTCAGTTTGTAATGAAGTAATTAAGTCCCTAATGACTTAAAAGATTTGGTTAATGGTATTTTAGAGACTGGTCCAAAATTGCAATGGAGTGTACCTGGTTCAGAGACGAAGCTAAGATTATTGAACAGCAGAGTAAAGCTAGATGTAGGGAAATCTCCCAAGATCAAATTCTTTGAGAAGGAGACTACACTACTATAGAAAGGCAGGCTGCCCTGGATTTATGCCACTCAGAAGCTTTGAATGCTTGGAACAGAATTGGAGAAATAGGAAAGAAAACTGAGTCATTTACTTAAGTTATTCGGGGACCAAAGGAAGCCTTTATGGATTTCCTACAATGATTGGCTTCAGCAGTAAGTAGAATGATACACACTAGCATTCCTTTGCCTTCTCCATTGCCTAAAGGATGGCCTTTTATAGTCATTGATTTAAAAGATTGTTTCTTCACTATACCTTTACAAGAAAAATAAAAGAAAAATTTACCTTCACAGTGCCTAATCTGAGTGCTAAGATTTAAACAAAACCTTAGATGGTGGCAAAGACTTAACTAGTCCCAGGAAATTATCAACTGAAGCTGAGAGAGAATTGACTTTGATTGAAGAGAAATTGCAGAAGGCACATATGAATAATGTGGATATAAATCTTAACTTCATTCTAGACTTATTACCCTCCAAATATTCCCCTATATGAATTTTAATGCAAAGGGAAGAAATTATCTTACAATGGATCCTTTTACCACATAAACTGATTAAAAAATTAAAAACTTATGAAGAATAGATATCTGAGTTAATAATAAAAGGAAAGCTGAACCTTTGGCAATTAGCAGAAAAACACTCAGCAGAAATTATAGTACCTTTTAATGATGATGAAATTAACAAATTATGTAAAGAAATTGTACCCTGGCAAAGAGCTTGAAGTAATTTTTTTTGGGAGAAATTAATGACTATCTCAAAAACAAGAGAGTTCACCTTACAAAGGGAAATTTGGATTTTTCCTTGCATTGTATGGGACACACCAATACTGGAGTCTCTACATTCTATATGGATGCAAATAAACCAGGAAAGTCAGGTTACCAGTTGATGTGGGAGTGTCATATATCAATCTGTTGATTTCATTGGTTAAGTTATAATAAACCAACTGCTTGGCCTCAGCTTAGAACATAGATGGGAGGAGTAAACAGAATAGAATTCTGGGCGGAAGAGGAAGTGAGGTCAGAATCTGCTCTGCTTCCGGACAGACACCATGCTCAGCTCTCCTGGGTAGACTTGACAGCTCTGCACTGGAGCAGAGACACCAGGATGGACGGAGGTTAGAATCTTCCCGGTAAGCGCACCTTGGGGTGCTTACACACATCATTAGAAATGGGCTAGTCCAGGTGCGAGAGTTAGCCTGTAAGGGCTAGAGTTCATGGGCCAAGCAGTGTTTAATTGAATATAGTTTGTGTGTTGTTATTTCGGGCATGAGCTAGCCAAGCGGCCGGGGTGTTGGGGACGCAGCCCCGCTGCCCTTATTTCAACAACCAGTCACAAAATTTAATTAAAGTGGAACAAAGCACTTACAATTCTTCAAAAAGTCAGAATTATCTGTTATTTTTACTATACTAAGCAATCTTAAAGAGCCTCTCAACATAGTTACCAATTTCCCATATGCAGAATTAGTTGTTTTACATACTGAAACCATTGAATTTATACCAGATGATACAGAATTGATTTCATTATTTATTCAGGTATAAGATACAATCAGGAATAGGCATCATCCTGTATATATAATAAACATCCTAACCCATACATGTCTGCCACATCCTCTAGCAAAAGTTAATGTAGAAATTTATCAATGTTTGATTGGAAATGTGCTGAAGGTCTCAGAATTCTATTAAAAATCCATCCTGTCAATAGAAAAGTCTTTTTTTTTTTTTTAAAAAAGTCTTTTTTAAGAGGACTTTTCCATTACATGGCAACAAGACATGGAAATTATAAGGAAATTTCCCACTTGTTCTCTATAAAAGCAAACACCACTACCTGCAGGAAGTAACCCAAAGGGTACTCAAAGGAATAAAATCTGGCAGACGAATGTGCTCCATTTTGTAGACTTTGGAAAACTAGAATATATACATCATAAAATTGATGCCTATTCAATGCACAATTGTTTTGATTTTGGAAAAGTTGATTTGTAATCACACATTTGCTAAAAGTCATGCCCACCATGGATAAAGCTGCACAAATAAAAACAAACAATGCCCCAGCATATGTCTCTAAGAAAATGAAACAGGGTTTTTTGTTTGTTTGTTTGCTTACTACAGTATACAGCGTATTGCAGGTATACCACACAATCCTACAGGACAGACAGTTAAAGAAAGTTAAATTAAAACTCTAAAGGATAAGTTAAATAAACAGAAGGGAATGACAAATATCCCTCAGAAATAGATTGCATAATGCTTTATTAACTTTGTATTTTCTAAATGCTAATGCTAAAGAAATAATAGCTGCAGAAAGACATTGGATAGCAGAAAAAAAAAACTACAGAATTAAATCAGCCTATATACTTTAAAGATGTACTAACCTCAGAATGGAAATCAGGACATGTGTCATGTTGGAGACAAAATTTTGCTTTTGTTTCCACAGGAGAATAAAAGCTATGGATACCATCAAAATCGGCAAAAATTCTATTTGAACACAAGATACCTCTTAATTAGAAGAGATGATATATCATCAAACATCATGGCCTTTTAATCTCAACTAACTCATAAAACTAACAAATGCTTTTCATTTGATCAGATATAAATTGCCAAAAAATAAAAATAAAAAAGAATCTCCCCAAAATTAGGACTGGGAAAGGCTTTTGATTCTCTCTATTCAGGAGAATAAAGGTATCCAGCTAAGGAATCTGAAAACCACCAGACAAATGAGACATCTGAATGAAAGGGACAGATCACCAAGAAAAATGTCTCAAGAAAAAGAGTAAAATGGCCTATTGGTATATCACATTCCCAACAGGATAAAATTTTATAAATCTTCCCAAATGTTTGTTTCCTCTGTTCTCTGCAGACATATAATGCGAATGTTCTTTTTGAAGTCCTGGTTCAGTTAAAGATTAAAGCTGGACTTGGAGTTGGAGTGTGGCTTTCTCCTTTTCTAAACCAAAGGATGTTTATAAAAGTGAAATGGAAAATCTCTGTCTCATGTCAGAAAACCCACCTGGTATGAGACAGAAGAAAAACAAAAACTTAAGGACTATTTTATTGCTATGAATCTCATAATCCTTTGGTTTTATATTGATTGTTTGATAGCTTTTCTTAAAGTGTAAGATTTATAAAACTAATATATATATATATTTATTTAAATATGTATTTACACACACATATAAATAAACTTTTGTCATGTTAGTAATTGTTGCGGGAGG